AAATTTGTTGCTACCAGTAGCAAGAAGGTGGATGGCATTCACTTCTCTACACAAAGGTCACTTTTCAAGTAGCTGACCTGTGTTTTTCTCCTCTGAATGCTTGATGGTAGCTGTGTACACTGTATTTCAAATCTGCAATTTCCAACAACAGAGCCATTTCTTATCTGAAACATGGATATTAGCTACTTTTCATGGTATAGTTTATAGCATTCCATATTATTAAAAACATACACTTAGAAATATACATTTGTTTCCTATTTGAATCAGTGAAAACGTTGAATAAAGGTATAAGCAAAATACTTTTAAGAAGAGCATTTCAACTCCATCCATGCATATCCACACATGTCCATATGTGGATGGAAATTGTGGAGAGTTTTCCATCTGTATGCATACCATTTAGAAGTACAAGAGAGCCCAGGGAAAATAATTTCCATCACCAGCATCAGAGATACTTCTATTCATCTATTTTTATGCATGTACATTATAGAAATCAAATATACTGCTCTTGTTGCTACAATATGGCTTGCATTAAATCCAAGGAGAAGTATTTCTTTTTGAAATTAAAATAGGGAAGCTAAACAATATGCAGTCTATTAAAAAGTAAATATTTTAAATGCTTTGCAAAATTGTAGTCATATTGTTGCCCTTTATAACTCTCAGATATTAAACTGCAGTTTAATTCTTAAACTGTTGCTAATTCCATTATTTGAAGAAAGTAATTTGAAATAAACATAGAAGCAATTCCTTTTTGGATTAGGGGTAATAGGTTTACATATCATCTGTGATTATGATGATAATGATGGCTTTTTTAAAGTGCTGATAAATTTCCATGTTATCTACTCTATTAGATTTCTTATAATGACAGCACACAGATAGATGAATATGTGGCATTTTTCACAAATCTCTCCTAAGTTGGAGAAATTCATTCTAACTCATGTAATAGAGACACTTTTATAATGAATCTTCTTTGCTAATCATCTCTACCTACTGCAGTTAGGTTATTTTTAATAGGACTTTCATCTTGAATAGTCCTTTCATGTACATTGGCTATGATAAAATCCCCAGCAGTCTCTTTTTATGCTTTTCTGTTAAAAGAGAGATGTGGTTGTTCAAATCATGGACTTAGGAAGGAGACCTACCTGGGAATGAATCTGGTGCTATCATTGACCAGCTGGGCTTCCCACTTGACCTTTCCACACTTCCGTTTCCTTGCCTACCAAAGGGGATCATATGTATACCTACCTCAACAGTTGTCTGTATACTTTAGTGAGCTACTAATGCATTTAAAGCACCTAGCACAGTGCCTGGCACACAGGCCTCCACACATACTAGCTGTTAGTACTATTTCTGCAACTTGAACCCTCAGCTCTAAATAGGCTCATCTTTTCACTACCTCTGGGAGTCACTTGTAGTGTTTCCTCTGCTACAAGTCTGCTTTTGTTATTCCTCTCATTTGAAATGTCCTTCTCTGCCTCTCCATTCTATTCACCTTCTAAGAATGAAGTCTTACAGCCTTCATGAACCCTGACCTGACTCTTCTAATTCTCAGAGATCTTTTCTTTTTGTGCATTCTATGTGCCTACTGTCAGTTCCATTTACTGAGGCTCTCAATAATACATTGCCTTCAGATCTGTTCCTTATATTTTCTTGTTTTCATAATAAGAATTGAAGTGCCATGGGATCAAGTGCCCTTTATATGCTCACATCTTCCTAGGAATTGAATATGTGAGCATGTTGTTGAGAGGTATTTTGCCTTTTTTTAAAATGATTTTGTTTCAAAGAATAAATGGCATAGAAACTAAAAAAGCAGTACAAAAGATCAATGAAACCAAGAGCTGGTTCTTTGAAAATACAAATGAGATTTACAATTATTTAAGCAGCCTCATCAAGAAAAAAAAGAGAGAGAACCCAAATAAGTAAAATCAGAAATGAAAGAGAAGAAGTAACAAGTGATATCACGGAAATACAAAGTATTATAAGAAATCACTATGAACAGCTATATGCCAACAAATTGGACAACTTGGGAGACATGGAAAAATTCCTAGAAACATGCAATTTTCCAAAACTGCATCAGGAAGAATCAGAAACCCTGAATAGATAACAACTAATGAAATCGAGACAGTAACAAAAAAGAACTCCCATCAAACAAACAGTCCTGGACCCCATGGCTTCATAGGCAAATTTTACCAAACATTCAAAGAAGAAATAACACCTATCCTAAAAAAATAAACATATGGGACTATATCAAACTAAAAAGCTTCTGCACAGCAAAATAAACGATCTAAAAAAAAATACAAAGGGAACCCACTGAATGGAAGAACATATTTTCCAATGATACATCTGATAAGGGGTTACTTTCCAAAATATATAAAGATCTTATACAGCTCAACATCAGGAAGACAAATAATCCAGTTAAAATTGGGCAAAAGATCTGAATAGACACTTCTCCAAAGAGGACCTACTGATGGCCAATAGACATATGTAAATATGCTCAACATCACTAATCATCAGAGAGATGTATCTTAAAACCACAATGATATATCACCTCATACCTGTCAGAATAGCTACTATCAACAAATCAACAAACAAGTGTTGGCCAGGGTGTGGAGAAAAGGCAACCTTTGTGTGCTGTTGGTGGGAATGCAGACTAGTGCAGGGCACAAGGTGCTCCCAAGACAAAGAATTATCTGACCCAAAATGACATTAGCGTGGAAGTTGAGGAATCCTGAGCCCTGGATGTCACCAATAGGTGGTTGAATTTGTATCCTGGCTATTTAGTGTCTTTTGTATATTTATTATATCATAAACATTTATTAACCAGGTGCATCATGAATATTAAATATCTTTCTATCCATGTGTAAAACATACATGATTTTCTTACCTATACTTTATACAGCCAATGCAATTTACCCACGTCTAACGAAATTTTGCTTACTAGCTACTTATCTATATTTAAGTATCTTAAGAGTGTTTGCCTACATTATTATAAACTTCAAATTTATTCATTTAACAGACTTGAAGATTTGCTAAAGCAAATTCACATTACACCAGTCCTGAAATTTCTAATAAGAAATAAATGTCCTGATTGTTTGAGCCATGTGTAGTTGTGTTTTCTGCAACTTGCAGCTTAGAGCATCCTTGCTGGTTCCTCCTTAAAAAATCAATAGGAAAATGTATTCCAAAGACAAATGAAACAAGGGCTTAGACAATAATGATATTTTCCCCAAATGGTAATGGAAGCATCAGACATTGTAGAAACTGATTATGGTGCCTATGTTAATATGACTCTCATTTGATCTGTTTGTTTACATTTCAAGCAACTGTAACTATGGTGCTTACCATGGGAGGACTGTGCGCTCAGAAATGCACTTTTTATTTTATTTTATAATTGGGACAATTTTGGCTTGGTGACCTTCAGAACACTGTGAAAAAGGTTTTCTTAATTGGCTGAATGTTTATTCATAGAGTAGATTTAGAATATCAACTGATGGTTGGCATCAATTCAACACCAGCAGGGATCCCCAGTTTGGGATGTGGTGAAAAAAGAAACTTTATTCAGTGCAAACAGCTCAATTATGAAACAGCACAGCTGTGGAACAGCAGGGCTGTGAGACAGGCGCTGGGGTGAGGCAGCCCTGGGGCGAGGTGGTCCTCAGACAAGGCCCCTCTTTGGCTAGACACTTCTGCTCTGCCTGCTCTGCTCCAGTTGCTCTGTTCCGTTCTGGTCTGGTGAGAAGTCTCTGGTGCTTTGTCTTAGGTGTTTCAACTCCAGTTTTCAGTCTTTGGTGAGAAGGGAAAGTGCTCTGCCCGAGCCAGAGAGGTGCTGACTTATATAGAGAGAAGTCCCTGCCCCCGTCTCTGATTAGTCTGTCCTCATGCAAATGAGGACTCCAAATCCTCACACTTTGATTGGTCCAAAAGGCACTGTCTGGACCGATCAGCATGGAGCCACTCTGATAGGTTGGTGAAGATGCTAATAAGGATATAGCCTTATGGTTCCGTTTGGAGCAGGGACGCCTCAGTCTTATTGGTTGAAATAGGATTCCAGGAACTGCTTTATAAGGCCTGGCTCAGATGGCAGGAACACAGTGCAGGCAGGCTGTTCAGTGCGGTTTGAATGAGAGAGCCCTGTTTTTAGACATGGCTGCAAGGCTCTGCTTTTAAATTTGAGCTCTGTTTGCCACCAGGAGCCTTTCTTAGTAGGTATCTACAGTCCCAGGGTCCACAGAAATTTATAGCTTCTTGTATTATTTCTATTAATGTTAATTTTATTTTAGTGCTTTAAAAATAACAGACTTCAATACTTTTTGTGTAAATTGTGTCTTGAGGTACTTCCATTAAAGTATGTGGGACATTTTTTCCACATACATGGAATTAAAGAGAAGTGCATTTAAGATGATGCAAATAGTTTAAAATTCTATGAGAAGTTTGTTGTTTAGTAGATTTCAGAATAGAATTATTTTATTGCTAATGCTATATTTCTTTACATTTCTTTTAGCATTCTTTGCCCCCTTTTTATTTTTGTGATGGAAACTAATGTTTTGTCAGATAAAATATCACACACAACACATAAAGAGATGGTGAGGGATGGTAGCAAGTTAAAACTGTTTGATAAAAAGCTAAAGCAAAAAGGGAAGAAGATGTCTTTATAATAATGGTGTGCTTCCGGTAGTTTCCCAGAATTCCTCAACAAGATCAGTGGAATCAGCTCTGCTAAGCAAGGGGGTGACAGTGGTATAGTCAGTTCAACCAATAACCCTTTAGAAGTACTAGGCTGGTGTGTGTGTGTGTGTGTGTGTGTGTGTGTGTGTGTGTGTGTGAGAGAGAGAGAGAGAGAGAGAGAGAGAGAGAGAGAGAGAGAGAGAGAGAGTCCTATAAAGCTTTATTTTTGTTTTAAAGTCGGAGTTAATGAATCATTAAAGCTGGTATGGGTAAACTTGATTTTCAAATGCGTTACATTTTCTAGTCCTCTTTAACCATCCTTTATTTTGTTATTGCAGTGATTTGCTGTCCTCTGAATACATAGAGAGACACATTGAACATGGAGGGAAGACGGTGGAAGTTAAAGTAAGTAAAATTTTTCTCCCTCTCGGGAAGATTTTTTTCAGAATCTTTTGAATACTGATTACCATTTTAATACTTTCAGTGATACATCTAATGTACCGTTTGGGGGGTTTTATAACAAAGAATTTTATCAAGCCCTGGCATGGGTGTTATCCCATGCACAGAAAGGTTGTTGGTTGATTGGTGGTCAGGGCACTTGCCCAGGTTTTGGGCTCAATCCTAGTTGGGGACCTGCAGGAGGAAGCCAATGGCTGTTTCTCTCTCTCTCTCATCCTCTCTCTCTGAAATTAAATTAAAAATCTTTTTTTTTTAAATATATATTTTTATTGATTTTTTTTATAGAGAGGAAGGGAGAGGGATAGAGAGTTAGAAACATCGATGAGAGAGAAACATCGATCAGCCGCCTCCTGCACACCCCCTACTGGGGATGTGCCCGCAACCAAGGTACATGCCCTTGACCGGAATCGAACCCGGGACCCTTTAGTCCACAGGCTGATGCTCTATCCACTGAGCCAAACCGGTTAGGGCTAAATTAAAAATCTTAAAAAAAAAATTTTAGCAAGAAAGTATATTACCAATTACTTTTGAAAATAAAATAAAACCTTTAGTTATTAGAAAAAGAATTGTAAGTACACTGTAGGAGTCATTGGAGGTATGTTTTATAGAATTAATATTGCTGCAAGAGGTTCTTTTTTAATTATATCAAAGAAAATAATTTCTGAAATTTGCTTTTAAGGTTAGCACTGAGAACCAAGAGGTGAAATCTTGAGTCAGGGTATACATAGCTTTTTATTTTGTTGGGAATGACTTTCCCTGATAAAATGATGAACTTATTAGATCTAATGGGAAGTCCCAGGGAATTTTAAAACTCTGAAAACAGTAATCTCAAGATCCTAGTTCTTGTCATGTAAGTTCTGAAAAGATTCCACACAAATAAAAAGCCTTCTCCAATTATAGGCGTAAGAATGTATATTGTTTTCTTCTAGTACACTGATGAATCTTAGGGCATATGAGACTGAACTCCACGAAAGGCTTGCTTTAGGCTCAATGTTTAGTGTAGCAAGTTTTAGTTAATTGTCTATTTTCTTTTGAACAGTATTCAGACTACCTATTCTGCCTTGTCATAATTCTATTGCTATTTATATATATTTGCTTTCTTTTTCTGATTATATTTGATGCATACTCATTTTAGAAAACTTGTAAGTAGAGATAACTATATCAAAAAAGAAAAAAAAATCACCCTTAAATTTTACTGAGGTAAATTTTGTTTTCATTTTGGTGTATTTCCTTTTAGCGTTGTTTTGTTCTAGGCACATACTTATATATATATATATTTTAAATTTATATAACATTTATTTCAGGAATGCTAATGATTTTTTTCTATTTAGCATTAGTGTGATATAGCCTTGAGCCCATTATTTGAACCATAGTATCTTTTATTTTTTATTGTTTTATTGTTTAAAGTATTACAAAAGGTATTACATATGTGTCCCTTCCCCCCCCCCCCGCCCTTGATAATCCCCTGGCCTCCCCTACCCCCCAGTGTCTTATGTCCATTGGTTATGCTTATATGCATGCATACAAGTCCTTCGGTTGATCATACTTATATTTTTATATATAAGTATACATAAACATATATACAACATTATATCTTACTTTTTAAAAAAATATATTTTATTGGTTTTTTACAAAGAGGAAGGGAGAGGGATTGAGAGTTAGAAACATCGATGAGAGAGAAACATCGATCAGCTGCCTCCTGCACACCCCCTACTGGGGATGTGCCCGCAACAAAGGTGCATGCCCTTGACTGGAATCGAACCCGGGACCCTTCAGTCCGCAGGCTGACGCTCTATCCACTGAGCCAAACTGGTTAGGGCTGTATCTTACTTTTAAGAAATAAACATTATATCATCCTATATAATAAAGAGCTAATATGCTCATTAGACTGGACAGCTGAATGACCTTCCAGATGAACTTCCTGAATGACCAGGGGGCTGGGGCGGGGTCAAGAGGCAGCTGGGGCCACAAGGGCCAAGCCCCTTGCACTAATTTTGTGCATTAGGCCTCTAATATTGTAAATATTTCCCCAAGTTATTTTCTCTCGAAGCCTATATTCTATGCTTTTCAATTTAAATATATTACTGTCATAAAACTTTTTTATTTAAATTAAACTCTATAAGTAAATAACTAAAATAAATTACATTGTTCTCTTCAAGTGATGACATGAAACAGATTGGATTTTTTAATGATATGTTAACTAAATGGAGGAAAACTTTTTATTGTGGAAATTTTCAAACATATATAGCAGTGAAAGGAATACTATAATGAACTCCCACATACCCATTTTCCAGTGTCAACAATTATAAACATTTTGACAGTCTTTTATATCTCTACTTGTGTGTGTGTGTATATGGTATGTGTGTGTGTGTGTGTGTGTGTGTGTGTGTGTGTGTGTGTGTGTGTTGTATTTAAAAGCACATTCCAGACATTGGGGCATTTCTCCAACAAATACATTTTTATATATCTGTACATCTCTGACAGATAAAGACTTAAAACAAAGTCTGTTAATGTTTACAAGTTACCTAGATATAATAATTATGCCAGTCCCTCTGAAAGTTATTCTAAACTTAAGGTTAACTAATTGGAAGGTTGATTGATTTATATCTGCCTTACTTCAGAAAGGATGCCAGGCTTCTTCTAGTTATGACACAGGAGAATGGAGCCATTTGGCTATTGTCGGAAAAATAATTCCCTAGATTTAGACTCTCTGGGCTCCTTTTATTCTCATCCCCATTTATTTAGCTTCGCTTCTCAATTTTGTATGATGTTTTTCAGAATGCACAGGATATCTTATTTCTTTGTTAAATTAAAGACGAAAGGAAACAGGCAATTCACTCTCTGTTTCTATTTATGTCTGTCAGTGGAATGCTGAAATGCAAACAGGAGCAGGGAGGGCAGATCCAGCAAACAGCTATCTATGGTCTCTACAGTAATATCCCTTTTCAGGGAACTTGTACTTAATCAACCAAGCTTACTTTGCTCTGAGCTCATTAGGCTCCGTGGGTATATATAACACCCAGAGCATTGACTTTACCCCACAGTCTTTGGGAATTGCATTTTCTTGGTTGATAGTTTGTCTAATCTAACCCCTAACCGTATCAAACCAGGGAAATGATAATCCAAAGTTCATTTCAGTACTTTGGCCAGAGGACATTACTCCCTTTAAGAAAACCATTTTGATCTCACCCATCATTCTATTTGTTTCCAGTTCATTTAAAAAATGAATTAGAGAATTTAACTCAAAACTCAAAACTCTCCTCTGTGTTTTTTCCAGGAACCACTTTTTTGTTGTTGTAATTAATCTTCACCCAAGTATGATCTTTTTCCCATTGATTTTTAGAGATAGTGGAAGGGAGGGAGGGAGGGGGAGAGAAAGAGATTTTGATGTGAGAGAGACATATTGATTGGCTGCCTCCTGTATGTGCTTGGAACCTGCAACCCAGGTACGTGCCTTTGACCAAGAAAGGAACCCAGGACCCTTTGGTGGGCAGGCTGATGATCTGACCACTGAGACACACTGACCAGGGCTCCAGGAACTACATTGAAAGTGCTGAATACTGCCCATCAATTCAAAGTCAGTAGCCCTTTGTGCTTAGCTTTTTACATGGAATCTCTTAGTTCTTTCTTTACTAATGACTCAATTTTCTTAAGCTTTTCTTTTCACTAGACATTATGAATAAAAAATTTGTAAAATTGTAGGATTTTTTATTGTTTTGTTTTAACTTTTCTCTTACCCTCTGTAGTAGTTTGCTAGGGCTGCCATAACCAAGTGCCTCAAACAGGGTGGCTTAAACAGAAATTTATTTTCTCACAATTCTGAAGGCTAGAAGTCCAAGATCAAAGTGTCAACAGGGTTGGTTTCTTCTCTCCTTTGCTGTCTTCTCCCTGTGTTTTCACATGGTCTTCCCTCTTGCATATCTGTGCCCTAATTTCTTCTTCTTCTTCGAAGGAAACCAGTCATACTGGATTAGGGCCCACCCAAATGACCTCATTTTAACCTAGTTGCTTCTTTAAAGACTATGTTCAGATATGTTTACAGTCTGATGTACTGGAGGTTAGGATGTCAATATATGACTTCTAGGGGAATGCAATTCAGCCCATAACACCTTCTGTAAGAGCTGTATGAATTTTTTAACCGGCTTTTCTCTTGGGACTGAAGTGAATGAAAGGATCTAAGAGATCAAAGCAAAACTCTAAGAAAGAACTTTTTTGTCAGTAGGCACAAAGTCATATTTATCTTGAGGTTGCAAATTAAAATCAACATCATTATCAAGTCAGATTTAAATAATGGCTCAAAACCAGTCTAGTAAATATTTCTGCTCAGGAGTCATGGAATCTTTATTTGTGAAAATTCAGGTGCAATGTATTTGTTTTAAGGATGTGAGTATGAATATGAGAACATCTGCATGAAAGTACATAATAGCTGCATTGGGGATTCTTTTAGACTGCAATTTTATTTAAATCTTCTTTTTATTGTAAAATACAACACTGACACAGAAATTACTAAAGGTGAACACCCTATAACCTCTATCCAGTTCAGGAATTAGAGCTTGGTCAGTAATTCTATGTGCTGCTTCCCGAACCCAAGCCCCTGTCTCCTCTTCTTGTAAGACTATAGACACTGCCCTGACTTTTATGGTTACCATTAACTTATTTTTGCCATAGTTTTATCACTCAAGCATGTATCCCTGTAGTTTAGTTTTCCATGTTTCATTTTATTTTTTTATTTTTTAAATATATTTTATTGAGTTTTTACAGAGAGGAAAGGAGAGGGATAAAGAGTTAGAAACATCGATGAGAGAGAAACATCGATCAGCTGCCTCATGCACACTCCCTATTGGGGATGTGCCTGCAACCAAGGTACATGCCCTTGACCGGAATCGAACCTGGGACCCTTGTGTCCACAAGTCAACGCTCTATCCACTGAGCCAAACCAGTTAGGG